TTTATCAGATCGGATTCAGATATACACTGATTCTAATCTGATCTGATCTGTTTGCATCCCTACAAATGGGGGTTGTGTAGTTTATTAGGCATTATTAAGAAGAAAAGCAGAACCTTGGTTATGGAGGTTTGGGTGTCTTAGTGATCTGTAGCAAATGTGTATTCTTCACTGAATGGTAATTGGTGTTTCCAGAAGTTGAAGGTGTTGATTTTTGTTTTATAATATTGGTCCAGGGTGGATATTCGCCTGATGTTGTTAAGTGGTTTTGGTTCTTGTTATTGATGGTAGGGTCTATCTTTTATTTCCACAGTGATTTCTTATCACTTTCTCATGTTAATGGTGGTAGGGTCTGTATAGGTGGCTTTGCTTATAGATTGTTTGGGCAGAGCCTGCTATCTATGATTTTTTTTTTTGATCCTTGCTGATTCCCTTGCTAAACAGGGAGCGGAAAGGCAGAAGTTGTTTTRGGCTTCTATGTAACCTAGCAAACATTACTTGGGATGACTTTATTGTCATCAAACTGTAYTGTTATCTTAAATATAATTAATTAGTAAAATCAATTTCATGCTGATAAAAAAAAATAAAAAAGAGAAATTTGATCCCTTATCTTTTCTTGAAAAAAGGAAATCTTATTTTGATTACGAGGATGGGTATACTTCTATGAAGTGGATTTTGTGTTGGTTGATTTTAAAATCAATGGTGATATGGCTGTGTGGATTTGTTTGGATAGAAAGTTGATACAATCTTTTTTCGAAGGGGTTGGCAATTTTTGAGGAAGGTCTGTAGGAGGTGAAAATGTACAAACCCTCAATATTTCATTGAGAGTCCCGGGAGATAGATTATAAGATTTCTGATCTACATCCCTTCTCTCTTTGAGGATTACATCACAGGTTTCAAGTCAAYTGTATGTTTGGAGGACAAAAGATAAGATTCATGGCTGTCTTTCTCTTAATTTTGAAAATTTGAGGTCTTGCATGGATTTTTTTAGTGGTTAAGGATATTTACTTANTAGATAAAAAGAATATATGAATTTCTTTACCCACTTGAGAGAAGTTGTTTATTGGAAGTTGCACATGTAGGAAAGATGATTTAGTGCTACTTAAATGGTTAGGATGACTTTTGAATGCTTCTTCATCATATTAGGGAGGTAAGATCTATGATGTTTGGCAATATAGGACGGACAACTTATTCAAATTAGTGTTGTGGTCTGTAAATTCCCTAGTTGTTAGTTTAGCAAGGGTTAAGGCCTGGCCTATGTAACTAATCTCTTTTTTCTTTGAGGTTATATGGGGAAGCTATGGTCCTCCAATGTTTCCATTTTTTGTAGTCTCTTTTTTCTTAGTTTGCTAAAAATCTCTTCCTTGTTACTGATTAAAAAAATCATTGTTTTGGAGGATCTATGTTGTGAATAAAAATAGTAAGTAAACTAGATATATATTTGATTGCTAACCATGAAATTTGTTTATAAAAACAAAAAGAATATTATATACAGGAGTTATTAACAAGGATGCTAGGCTCGCACCTGTTACCYGACCACACTGTTCTTAGATATTGATTTCAGTTACATTGTAGCCCCACTGTTGATATTTCCAAATTAAGGTATACTAGCAAATTTCAAATTGAGATGTGCAAATACCTTATTATGGAAATATCAACAGTTGAGGATTGCAGAAGCTGAAGACAGGGAAGGTGACAATGCCAACCAGGTGGACTGTTTGGTGACATTAGGAGGAAAGGAGACTGATGCAATTGGCTCAAGATCTWTGGAGATTGTGCCCTGCTTGAATGCTGAGGTTTGAACCCTTTACTGTCTTCGGATATGTTATAGAAGTAATAGTTTAAGGGAAGAGGAAGACAGCGGAACTGTTGAAGGGGTTGTCAGGGGAGACAGAAGAAAGAGAAAACTTCCTATACTGGATAAACGAGATGGACAACAGAAAAGAATACACAACAAAAAAGAAGTTTGAACCATCAAGGAATTGATGAAGAAGGGAATCGTATGGAGGATGTGAGAGTGCGGGAGATCTTGGGAGAGGGGATAAAGGAGGGCTGAGGGCRTTGAGGGGAAGGATGGCACAAAAGAGGGAGATGTAGGGTGGAGATTGAGAAGCCAGTGGAGAGACAGGCGGAGGTGGGTAAATCTCTGGGTTTGTTCTTCTTGGGAGGGGAAAAAATGGTCAGAAAGGCAATCAAGTAGTTTGAAAGAAGCAAGAGAGAAGTAAATAAGATAAAAATCGTAGGGGAAGGGGGAGGGGAGTGGGAGGAAGGAGAAGGGAAGGGAGAGGATTTGGTAGAAGAAGAGTGGAGGGGATGATTGATTGCCTGAAGCAAAAGATAGAAAGGGGAAGTGAAGGCTGAGTTGGAAAAGGAGGCTGTTAAGAATGAGATTGTTCTCCTGGAGTGTTTTTTTTGATCAGCAGAAATTATTTTATTATAATTAAAGAATGCTATAGCAGTACAATATGATGACAGGGATGTCATCCCCAAGAGCTTATCAAGTTACAGTTACCAAGAAATCCCAAAAAGGCTAATAAGTTCCCAATATCCCAAAATGCATCAGATTACATTTTAGCCCAAAACAAGCCATCTCTATCAGCTCCTTGGTTCTCCTGGATTGTTAGAGGCTTGAGAGATGGGAGAAGAAGGGTTTTATCCTGTTAGCCACCTTTTCTTTTCAGATCAGCTTCTGGCTTCTTTTGATTCCTCTTCATGACAATCCTTGGAGTCAGAAACTTCCAACCAAGATTACCTACAGAGATTTTATCATCAGGGCCAAGAATCAGAGGTGGAAAGTTG